CGCTGGCCGCAACTCTTAACAGAGTGCAAAAAGGAAGTTTGAGAACCGTACAAAATAAATAGGAACTTCCCAAAATCTTGTTCTCATTTTCCACAAGCTTTGATAGCAGCGTTAGGACGAAGGGAATACATCTCAGCAAGAGACTATATCACATCTAATCTACAGAAACACAACTTCAAGCTCTTGCCAGCCACAATGAACTGTACGAAGGCTTCGTCTCCCTCATTTGAAAAAGATGAACTCTCACAGCGACAGGAGCGTATGAGGCACAGAGCATGCTTGCAGTGAAGTGCTCATTTCTATGGAAGCAATAGACCATCTGCTTAGCTTTGCTACTGCTTAACGTGTTCGGCAACCAACAATCTTAAAAAAAAAACCCCCAAAACTCTAATTTAAAAGGATTTTCTAGGTGGTTTGAACACATCTTCTGGCCTTAATGGACTTCACAAAAAAACACGGTACAACACAAAAGGACAGTTGTGTTGCTACTGGAAATTACTGTGACAAGATGATCTGTTCCTCTATCCCCGGCCAAGATGACTGTTCAAAGAAGAATCCTTCTGCTCTTTTAAGAAGATTTCTTTAAGAACTTCAACCCAGTCAAATGAAAACTATCCTTGTAGTGTCATCCAAGAAAACAAGGCCACAATGCCACAGTTACAAGAAAAATCATTACGGGAAAGGAGCCTGGTAGCGAATGGAGCAGCGATATATACAGTAGCATAGAAGAGAGGTTTCCTCAGGGGTTCCAGATGATCTCAGACAAGCAGGCGCTCTAAATAAATCTGAATATGCAAACTGCACAGTCACGGCCAACGAAGAACTAAAATCCTTCCCATAGTAAGTTTTTGCATCTTTAATTCACAAAACCTTCTCAGGGACTACTCTACTCCCCATTTCCAAATCGTTTTAGGTGATCAAGAACATGCTATATACTCCCAAGAAAATATGACTACAACTTTAATAGCTACTGCTTAACTTGTACTGACAGGTCGCTTCTTCTGGAGGATCATATGAATTCTATGAAATCCTTTGCTCACGTCTCTATGGACTGAGGAATTATTTTGCTTTAATCTCTCCCTGCCAACAGAAAAACATTCATCTTGATGTCAGCACCTTATGGCCCTCTGACATCAAGAAGCAGTTATTTTTCATTACCTTTTCAGTTGGTTAGGTGTAAGGTTTATCCTCCACCTTCAGCTTACGCAAGCACACGCATCACGAGTTTGAGTTACCATGCTCATTTCTGGCATACTTTTCATTTTTTCAAGAGCTGCCTCAAAAAGGCAAGTCCAGCTCAAAATTAACAATATTGGCTTATGATCCTCCAGATGAAATGAAGCCCAGTTATTTCTGAGAGCAGGTGAAGGGATCAGATTCTGGATTTTTTTTTTCGCCTTCTTTTTCTCTTAGTAGAAAGAATGCTTATAAAAACATACCAAAAGAAAGAAAAACAAAAAAAAAAGGCAACGGACTTCCCTTGATTAGTCATTTACTAAAAAAGGATTAGAACAAACCATCAAGGAAGCAGGGTCTTGCCCAACAAAACTGGTCCCAAACCATAAAGGGTCATGAGTGCTACAGACTGCATATAAACACACAGAATTGAGAAAAACAGGCTTCTGAGCCATACCTGAATGAGGTTAATCAGTGATGCACATCACTTATTTTAAACAGAATGAGAAAACCTTGGTTTAAAAAGTTCTTTTTAGTTCTTTTTTCTGCATTTGTATTTCTCACCTCTTTCTTTCCCTTAAGATATATTGCTACAGTCACCACCTAGAGAATTTGCTTCCAGCCTTGACACAGTTCTGAGCCTGATGGCAGCTACATTTTAAGCTGTTTAGTTGTCAGGCACATTCACTATTAGGTAGATCAGCTGCCTTGCCACTTTTATTGCTGGTCTTCAAATCTTTTAAGCTGTATAAATTCAGTGGTAAACATCAGGGAAGAGGAGGTGAAAAACCAAACTAACCCACATTCTCCTGCAGCAGAAATTTAAGTTTCCGAAGAACAAACTCACCAAAATGTTTCTTGAGGGGTCTGGAACACAAGTCATACAAGGAGCGGCTGAGGGAACTGGGGTTATTTAGTCTGGAGAAGAGGAGGCTGAGGGGAGACCTGATTGCCCTCTACAACTGCCTGAGAGGAGGCTGTAGGGAGGGGGGGGTCGGGCTCTGCTCCCTGGGAACAGATGACAGGACAAGGGGGAACGGTTTGAAGCTGCGCCAGGGCAGGTTTAGGCTAGATATTAGGAAGAACTTCTTCACCCAAAGGGCTGTCAGGCTCTGGAATGGGCTGCCCAGGGAGGTGGTCGAGTCCCCATCCCTGGAGGTATTTAAAAGAAGGATGGATGAGGTGCTTAGGGACAGGGTTTAGTGGTGGGATGGCAGGGTTAGGTTAAAGGTTGGACTCGATGATCTCAAAGGTCTTTTCCAACCAAAGTGATTCTATGATTCTACTTTTCTTAAAAGCTTTCATCACAACTGGAGCATCAATAAGAGAAAAAGCCAACACACAATCACGGTTGATAATCCTATTAGGACAATAAACTGGGGGCGGGAAGAGACTGGAAGAGGACGCCAATCCTCCAATGCCTATTAAAGGGAATGGCAAAAGCAGAGACTGCTTCTGCTTGTCAGAAGAAAATTCAGGGAGTAATTTGTTCCAACATGGAAACACAAAGTATCTGTGTAAAACATCAAGCTCACTTGCTCTCTTACTAGCAGAAAATTAAGATATACATAAAGTAAGACTTTTTTTAAAAACCACAATGCTTTTAAGCTTCATCTTCAACATGAAATAGAGCCCTGGAAAACACCAGATTTTCTATTTTTTCAAGTTGGCCCAGTTTTAAAAATTGTTTTCTCTTGAGTGCTAGCACCTTCACAAAAGCACCATGTTATCACTTATGGTCTGTCCTTAAACAGTCCTACCTTTTCAGTTTCTCCACACAACTTTGTATCTAAGGACTTCCAAAAGCACTAATTTTGCTCTCATCTCCTGGAAATGCATCACCAGTGCTAAGCACAGCACTGCACATACAAGGACGACCTAATGATTTGCATAAGAACACTTCCACTATTCTTTTGCAACGTATTCCTTGTCCAAATTAACTTTTACTTTACTTCTTGAACATATGCGAACTGAGGAAGTCCAGGTCACCTTCCCGAGCTGATGAATCCCATTTGCAGCTGGCATCAAGCTAAGACTGAAGTCCTTGAAAAATGGAATTTATCTGAGTGCTGGCCTATTCCTTACCAGGGGTGGGTTTGTTCAAAAGAAACCAAGACATCACAGAACCTCCCCCACTCTCCGTCAGATGAAGACCTTAGGCAAGTCCCTTTGCTTTGGGGTAATTGTACTTGAGTTAGTTCACATAAAGGAATCAGTAGTGTCATCATATAACTGCATAGCGACTAGAAAAAAATCTACTCCTAAGAACTTCAATAACCACAAGTTTATAGAAATAAGCCAGATAATTAGAACTTGTCACTCTTCCCACAAATTTCAAAGAAAAACAAAACAAAGATAAGCTGAATTTCTTTCTGTGAAGACCAGTCCCCTTGACAGAACAAATTTAGCCAATTTGGAGGCTGGAGACAGCTATATCCACTGTCACACGACCTGCAGTCAGACCATAAGCATCCCTTGCTTAAGCAAAGGGATCTCCTCTGGTGCAAAGAGAATGCTTTTGATGTTTTTATTTTCAAAAATTAAAATGAACTATACAGTACTCCATGATGTCAGCATTTCTTCAGAGAACGTGATTTCTTCTATGTCAGGCAATTTTTTCCATGATTGCCAACACATTAATGAATTAACACTTACATGTTAATAAACTACAGTGATAATGACTAGCGATGTATGACTAGATAAAATATCAGAGATTGAATTATATTTTTCTACACATCAGAACAGAAAGGGTTTGCCATCAACGTTTCAGGAAGGAACTGGACCAAAGCAACACAGATGAGAGATGAGGCACGCTGCTAACCAACTGAAAGACAGGAGGAGCAGCAATCGTAACACTTCTCTAAGATCACACCTGGAAAATTAAGAACTAAAAGGCAGACTGTATCAAGCAGGGACCAGAGCAGTGCCCCATGACTACAGACACTTCCAAGTATCTGTATTCCCTGCCCCGATCTGCAATGGCCACCAAAGTAGACTTTTTTCCCAGAGACTGCCTTTCCCTTTCGCAGAGTTTGCATTAGCTTGGCAATCTACGTGAAATTTAATATTTTCAGATCAGTTCCTCTATATCTGAAGAGCATTCACTGCACAGCTGTTGACAGTGGTCCTTGACAAGAGGACCAATTGCTACACCTCTCCCTTCCATCTACAAATATTTCTCTAACAGCTTTCAAATTGCTTTAGAAGATATTGTTGTCTGGCAGCTAAATTGAGATGCTGCACAGAAGTTATCATCTGCTTCCTTTTTGCAGGATTACACTCCTCTTTTCTAATTCACCCTGCTAAGATACTATCCAACTTTTAACTTCAAGGATGTGTTTTTCAACAAGTGCTTTCATTTCTGATTACATGAGAAATACTGTTTCAATTATCTTGCTTTCCTGCTACCACTGGTGACTGAAACTGGTAACTACAGCCTCAAGAAAGTGCATTCTTTAGTTCTGTTCCAGAAAAGAATCTACTATGTTTTCTAAACACCTGCATGGAGAAAAAACAAGTATAATAAACAGAATACATTAAATGATATGTACATACTTTAGTCATTGCTCCTGTCTGTGCTGTGTTCAGTCCGGTGTGACCAGCCATCTGTGGAGATACTTGGGTTAAAGTCTCTGCCAGCACACTGCCTGCATTCCCCTGCATGGCAGGGGCAGGATATTGCATTCCTCCTCCCCTTCCTCTTCCAGCTGCCCCAAGAGATCCATTCATTACCTGCCCTTGTCCTTGCTGAGGCTGATTCATTAAACTGTGACCAGAATTACTGTTGAGAAGACTCTGGTGTGTCTGACTGAAATTAGTATTCATACATATCCCAGGTCCAGTCTGTGATGTTGCAGGGCTGCTCGTCACCATCCCCACTTGTTTTTGTGCTTGAGAGTTCAGAGTTTGTGATGCAGGTGTGGTAGGTCCGGAGGTGCTGGCTGCTTGCTTTGCCAGGCCTGAAGCAGAAGAGTCTCCCTGGTTTAAAGGGCTCTTACCCATAGCACCCAGATTACCGATATTAGCACTGTTCGGCTGCCCTTGAACTTGACTACCAACTCCCTGCTGGACAGGGCTATTTGAGTTCACATTTCCAATTCCTGGGTTTAAGGAAGAGCCGCTGCCTCCCCTTAGAAGTTCAGAAAGTTGTTTGTGTTTGGAAGCTGCATCTGGAACAAGGTTCCCACTGCTGTTTAAAAGGCCCAACTCGCCATTGGGGATCAGCTCATCGGGAAGATCATTTTCCAAGTCAAACAAAGATCCGAAATCTAGAAGTTAAAACAGAAACATAGGTGAGAAAAACACGAGAAACAAAGTAACTAAAAATACTCATCTACGCTGCTTTGTACTAGTCGTAAACAATGACATGCATTAAAGTAAGTCTTTACCCAAGACTCAGTATTGCCAGAAAGCAGGCGAGGGTCCCCGTCACATGAACTCAAGAGGCTTTTGGAAACCAGTGTCATCAACACACACTGTGCACGTACAACCATACAGGGCAGAGCACTGGCCAGTAAATAGGTTTTTTTGCAGGACTTTTGACAAAACATTGTACCAAGCTTAAGAAACTAGGGTGGCACGAATAGAATGACCTAACCTAACTCCTAAATTTCTCTTGTTTTGGCTAAAATAAGGTGGCAGAAGTATCAAGACCTTTTTTCCCCCCCTATTGATTTACTCTCCCAAAAGAACAATTACATCACCTTCTCCAACCCTCTACGTAATCCCAGGCCACTGCACTTCACCCAGCGATCCTACCTCAACTTTGTAATTTCTATTTGTGTATGGCCAAAGAACATCTTCCCGCTAGCTTCAAAGCTTGATCAAAAGACAACCACTTCTTTGCTAGCTTGATGCCAGTCTCACATATAAATGCGTTCAATATCAGTTTCTAGTCATTGATCTGCATCATGATCCACTACCTCAGGAGATCCAAAAGGCCCTCAGCATTTTCTCCTCGTAACGCCTCTTGTAACCAAGTCACTTCTCGACCCCTGAACAGCTCAAGTAATTCAAATCACTCTCCAAGTGCCCAGCCTTCATTTATCATGCCCAATATTGACAGAGGTAATCCACACACTCTCCAGATAAGCAAAATGAAACAATCAAATCTTCATTAAGCCACTTGAAGGAACTTCTCTGCCCGGCTGTAACATCCAAACTGATAAAAAATGGTGGGGTTTTTTGTTTTGGTTTTTAAAAAAGCAGCTCAGGTTCACTAAAGTGTTTCATTGCACATCATAAGCGATGTCTGTGTAACAATGTTATTTTGGTACGTAACTAAAACCAGAAAGTTACTTGACTGTATATAGGTACTTCCATGTGAAAACAGAAGTTGTATTTGAAGACATAAGGACAAGTGCATACAGCAATATCAATAAATACGTAAGCAGACCTGCCTCAATTCATCACAGCACGACATCTTAGAAAAATTTTCCCATCCAAGGATATGATCTAAACCAACCATTTCTTACTGTAACATAACAGAAACGTGTGAAAATTTTGTTTTGCCCCCCCTAAAGCCAGCCCTGAAAAACCCTAGTCTCTCACAGCACGCAACAGACAAACCAAATTTTTTCCAGGTTAGAGCAAAAAGTTCTTTTATAATGAAGGGTATCCCAAAATCTTCATTATTTTAAAAGTTGGTTGAAGGCTCAGGCTGCAAAAGTGGCACATCATCATCCAGCAAGTGACAGCCTGGACCACACTGACTGCATTGGAAAGAAACAACAAAACCCAACAACACTTAACCATGATAACAAAGCTATTACCAACACATTTTGGTACGTTTAAATATAATGCATTTCATCAGCATTTGAATTTTTAATTCAACCTAACAAGAAAAATGAATACAAATTTTTAGATGTGTTATGATGACCAGTGAGTTATATGAACTGTCACAGTAAACATGCCCAAAAATGTTAAATTCTGCCGGTTTGGAGGCACTCACAGCAGCACATCCTTTAGGGGCCTCCGTTTTGCCATCATTACCTACAGAAGTCCATGAGCTCTGAAGAATTCTTCCAGGCTTGCACGTCAGCCGTGACAAAATACACCACAGCTCAGGAACAGGCCTACTCCCTTTCAAGCAGGGAATTAACGAACAAACATTTTTGTTAGCTAGGTTCGTTAAAGTATTTTTAATCTCTCTCTCACTTGCTGCCTTTCCTTCAGTTGTTTAGTTCACCTTTTCAACCTGCTTTTGCAGAAACTCCTGGTGTACCTTCAGCTACATTCCGCTTCATCTCTCCTCCTCTTTCCCATGCAACCACTTGACACTATCCTGCAATTTCTGTCTCTTCCTATATATTTTGGTTCTACTTTCCTTCTTCCAAGACACCACTATTTTTAACCTTCCATCCACCTCTAACCCACCTCTGATGAAAACCCCATCACCTGTTTTCAGCACTAAGCCCCATTTGGCCAGAAGTCAGTCCTGGGTGCCGGGAGCTGCAGCCTGGAGCACAACCAGAGCCATAAACCTGGGTGTCACGAAGGGTGGTGACACAGGGTCCACAGCTGAAGCTTCGTCTTTCTTAAACTGCTCTCCTCATCCCGGCTCGCTAGGAAGTTCAAATTTTACAGCGCTTGTTCAGACAACTTTTGTAAATCCCATGAACGGTGTTTTTGCAAGCTTCTGCACTCAAATTGTTAATATTTCATGAACAAAGATATATTCGCGCGTGCGTGTGTGTACACCGGGGCACAGGAGAAGTGGCAAAATGTGGAGGGGGAAGATGTTTGCTGGAGCTTAAAAAAAAAAAAAAAAAAAAAAAAAAAAAAAAAAGAGTATTTTTTCCCAGTCGTATTTCAAATTGGGATGTTGGAGTATAAGTGCTCAAATTTTTTTTGTTTGGCTGGCTGGACTCCTAACATTGTCTAGCCAGAGCCAAGGACTGGAAATGTTTTTCAAGTTTACAAAAAAAAAAAAATGAAGAAAGCGTTTGGGAATACAGCCTCTTAAACCCTAAAATAATCTACCACTCCTAAACTCCTGTAAGAAGGCTATACGTTAAGGTTAGGCACGGAAAGTTTACGGCTCTGCCAGCAAGAAAATAAAAAGCAGGTAAACAGCTTAGCACGGCGGCTGTGTAAAAATTCACCGAGTATTCACATGTTCAGGCAATGACTAATGTTCCTGCTTTTACATTTTAATCAGTCATGTATGTTAAAAACATCAAGCCAAGGCACATTTTAAAAGTTATAAAATATAACAGAAAACAAAAGTCTACTTGGGCATGTCTGCAACAAATCCATAAAGATAAGAGATTGTCGTGGCAGTTATAAAAAGTATATTTATACACATATTAAAATCTGCCATAATAAGAATGCGGCCCATTTCTCCTGGTAGCAAAATTAAAAGTAACCTCAGTCCTCTCATCCTCACGAGAAGAATATAATCGATCCCATTCTCAATGCTTCAACTATTTCTCAAAGTCAATGGCAGCTACCAAGAGTCTAAAAAAATCAAGACATGCCTTTGCCTTTACATACAGTTCTCTGAAGCAACGCTCAAAAATAGTTACACTGAGGAGTCCCACTCCAATTACTGAGCTTTGTACCTGCTCTGCCTCTCAAACCTGCAGCTTACCTAGCATGCCTGCCTACCTTGGATGGGCACACTCTTCGCTGGGTGGAACACCGGCTGGATGGCCAGGCCCAAAAAGTGGTGGTGAATGGAGTTAAATCCAGTTGGCGGCCGGTCACGTGTGGTGTTCCCCAGGGCTTGGTATTGGGTTCAGTTCTGTTTAACATCTTGATCAACAACCTGGACGAGGGGATTGAGTGCACCCTCAGCAAGTTTGCAGATGACACCAAATTGGATGGGAGTGTTGATCGGCTGGAGGGTAGGAAGGCTCTGCAAAGAGACCTGGCCAGGCTGGATCCATGGGCCCAGGCCAATTGTGTGAGGTTCAACAAGGCCAAGGGCCGGGTCCTGCACTTAGGTCACAACAACCCCATGCAACGCTACAGGTGTGGGGAAGAGTGGCTGGAAAACTGCCCGGCAGAAAAGGACCTGGGGGTGTTAGGCGACAGCCAGCTGAATATGAGCCAGCAGTGTGCCCAGGTGGCCAAGAGGGCCAACGGCATCCTGGCTTGTATCAGGAATGGTGTGGCCAGCAGGAGCAGGGCAGGGATCGTGCCCCTGTACCAAGCACTGGTGAGGCCACCCCTCAAATGCTGGGTTCAGTGCTGGGTACCTCATCCCAAGAAGGACACGGAGGGGCTGGAGCACATCCGGAGAAGGGCAACGAAGCTGGTGAGTGGTCTGGAGCCCAAGGCTGATGGGATTCCTTATCAGTGCCAACAACTACCCGAAAGGAGGGGGTAGCCGTGTGTGTGTGTGTTGGTCTCTTCTCCCAAGTAACAAGCAATAGGAGGAGAGGGAACAGCCTCCAGTTGTGCCAGGGGAGGCTTAGATTGGACATTAGGAAAAAATTCTTCACCAAAAGGGTTGTCAAGCATTGGAACGGGCTGCCCAGGGAAGTGGTCGAGTCCTCATCCCTGGAGGTATTTAAAGGATGGGTAGACGAGGCGCTTAGGGACAGAGTTTGCATTAGGTTAACAGTTGGGCTTGATGATCTTAAAGGTCTTTTCCAACCTAAATGATTCTATGCAACAGAACAGAAAAGGGATCTTTATTTTAAAAGAGGATAGATTCCCTTAACTAATAAAGCACATGCAACGGATTTCAGTGCTCAGGAAGCAGTGGAGCTGACTAAGGCTGCGGAGACCCACCTCGTCACATCTCGTCTCTCACACAGCGCTTCTGATCCTAAACCTCACACCTTTCATTATCTCTGTTACATAAAACCAAATGGCCTCTTAGCAGAAGAGAGGCAAAAACCAGAGAACATGTCTTTCGGAAGGTTTGGAGAAGCACTAGGCA